CTAAGGTTAATTTTTAAAAATATGATATAGTTAGTTATTAGTGAGATTTTGAGTTTATATTGAAATAATATTTAAAATGGTTTAGATGATGTGAAGTGATAGTTGGTGAAAATTATGTGAGTGAATGAATAGTAAATTAAAGTTGATTTAATGTGTAAAAATGATTGAATGATATTATTTAATTACATTGATAATATTGAGAATATTGAGGTTGAATTAAAATTGAGTTGAGTTTTGAGTATGAATTCGAATGAATTGGAAAATTTATAAACACACAGTTTGTGTTCGGATGGTCATATTGGAACATGATCGTAATTTATTTAGAATGATCACATGTGCAATTAACTCATTCTATGAAGGTTGTCTGTCAACTATCATTAACCATTATTTTTTTTCGAAACGATATGAAATATTATATAACAAAAACGCACAAACGTGCAAACTACACAACCCCTAGCTGAATAATACAGTCAACAGTTGAATAAAACTGGGAGGACAAGTCATAAGACCGCCTAGAAACCGACTAGCAACGCTAGAAAAGAAACTCCAACAACACAACACAAAGCCCTATCTATGGAACGACCTCCAACGAGGTGATGTGGAATGACCCCAAACGAGGTAATGTGGAACGACTCCAACAAAGTAATCCCTCTCACAGGGGCCAAATGACCCAAACCAAAGAAACGATACTAAACCAACACCAATCACGAAGACAAAAACAGCAACAAGAAAAAAACAAACAAAAAGAAAACACACAAACACCAAAACTACCACGCCCTCCCCCAAAGAAAGACGATCCCGAACAAGCGGCAACCGGATCACAGCTCGGCCCCTAGCCAAAGAACAGCTCCCGAAACTGCAATTAAGCCTATACAGAAACTGAACCTCCGCCCCCGAAAAACTACGAGTCGATCTGCCAACAACCGAGGGTACAAGCTGGTGAGCCACCCCAAACCGGCACACCCCAAGCGCACCTAACACCACTAGGCTACTCGGGGGCATCGGACTCCGACCAAACCGCAGCAGAGCCGGAGAGAAGGAGCAGCTCGCAGCCATATACAAAGACGAATGCACACTAGGTCCAGGGGGGCCCGTGGCCCCCCTGATTTTTTTATGAAATTCATTATATATATATAACATTACAAAAAATGGATAAAATTGAAAAGGTAAACATATAAATAATTAAAAATTAGTTACTATGCTATTTTAATTTAAAATAATAATATTATTTATTTATTGAAAAATGTACTAACAATCCTAATATTTTACATTCCTATATAAGTTTTTGAAAATATTTATAATAATTTACTATTTGGGCCTCTTAATTCTAATTGATTAGTGATTTATAAAATCGAGTATTTAGTTAGATTGTTAGATTTTTGAATGTTTATTTTGTACTTTATTTTTTTTATATAATCACATATTTTTAACTTTATATCTTTTTCTTAAGAATATGGTCATTTTGATAAGCTCTCATCAATACAGATGTTGTGCAATGTGCTGTAAAAGTTCAATTTAAATCAATTTTTCAACCAAAAAAAAAAAAAATAAACTTATTTAGTAAATTATAGATGTTGAACTTAAATTATAAATACATGAAATATCATTTTTTTGGTTGTTTTCTCAAAAGTTTGAGAGTAATACGGATTCTAAGTCCTTTTAAAATTTGATGGTATATATCTAAGTCCTTATAGAACACATTTTTATATGAAATGAGCGTTTCGATATAAACTACAAGATCGTTATTTAACATTTAAAATGGGCCCCCTGAGTAAAATTCCTAAATCCATCACTGGCCATATACCCTACTCCTGCAGCACCAACACCGGCCACCGGAGCCCCTCCCCATCCACTGACCACCGCCATCCCATCGCCGCCACATCGGCGGACATCCCCGCACCAGAACTCCATCGGAGTCTCTTCCTGCAAAAGACCAAAGGGGAGGCACTAAAGCGCCAAACAGCCGAAGACTAGAGACCGCCTCCCCCTACCAGAGTCAGCCGCCTGCTCCAAGGACCAGCAAGCCACCGGACCCGACACGAGAAAGAACGTGAATCCCGCCCACCAACAGCCTAGGGCCAAGCCGCCAAAGCCACCAAACACAGTAAGAGATGAGAGGGAACGGCTTCAGGGACAAGCCGGACAGTCGAGGCGACCGCCAACCCGGCCTCGCCAACGCCGGAGGAGGTGAACAGATTGAAATAAGAGGCGGCGAAAGCTAGGGTTATTATTTGGGGAAAAATCGCCTCGATATTCTTTAAAGTGAGCGAAATATCCAAATAAAATACGATAACTTTTTATCATCAACCATTATTATATTATTATTCTAGTTGTAATAAAATAAACGACATAGTTTTTAAACCTAAATTAAACTCGAAAAAAGTGGCAAAATAATTAAATGAGCAAGAATATGAGCATTACTTTAATGGGGGTGATGCTAATGTCCGGTTACGGAACCATTTCGTCGAGGTTTATAACCGTTGTGTCAACTATCCTCGATATGATCTAACAATTATAAATTCCGATGGAATGTTCATAACGGGACAAACTGTTGTTATTCGATTGTTAACAACGATTAGATGTTGGATTAGTTGATTATTAGGAGGAGTTTGGATGTAAAACATGTATTAAAGATGCAAGCAATGGCCCCGGTCCGAGGTGAACCGAGGTGAAGGGTGTTGAGCTTTTTTATATATATTGAATATTCAGGGAGTGATCCCCGTACAAGTATACAAATTTTCTATTTATAGTAACTTTTTTCGGCCCGTATGTCGAGGCATACGATTGCTTTTGCATAAAGTGGCTTTTTGGAGGGGCGGCCATGCGAGCGAGACCCACACGAATGATGAGTTTTCTTGTGGTGTTAGAACATGTTGCATAGATGCCTTGTCACCTGCTTCAGACTTGATGACCTCGGTTCGTAATGACGTCGGTATTTACAGAACATGTCGGTTTTCTTTACTTCGGTCAGAGTTTGATTCGTAACATGAACCGGGGTGATTAGAGTTTAGGTCATCGTCTATGATGATTCTTCTAATGCGTGATTTCAGACAAGTAATCTCGGATTACCAGATCCGATGATAATAGAGAGGACCGTATCATTTCCCTACATCTTTGCCTTCGAAAAACTATCCATTTCTTCCCCTCGACACATTCCTTTCCCTTCTTTTCACAAAATCTCTCCATTTGATTTCCCTTTTTGCAAGTTCCCGTTGGTAAGTGAGGAAAACAAAATACCTTTTCAGGGTTTTTTCCCCTTTTTTTTTTTCTCTTTTATATTTCTTCTTTATTCCATTCTCGGGCGCTTGTTTGTCATTT